TTCAACAGCAGAATAAATTCACAGCAAGATATTAATGGCCAGTAAGGCTTAATATATTACCCCTTTAAGGTACACCGGATCCTCAGAATCTTTTGGTGACCAACAAAGGGAGATATCAGTAGTGGAAATGTTAGGCTGTATACTGGCCCCAGACTGGTTCTGAAATCATCTCTCAAGTTTTACCACTGTATCTATTTCACCTGTGAATTAAAAAAAAAAAAAAAAAAATCTTGGTGAGCTATAAATGGGAGGGGTTGGTAATGGACAACAGGAGGGACAATTTTTTTTTTCTTTTCATTCCAACTTCCAAAGCATTTACAAACACAGTGAATTGTTGAAATTGTTGCGACAGGAATGCCATCAAGTAACTTGGGTGTGGAATGTCACGTTTGTCTTATTCTAACTTGGCTGCTGCCACTAGAAACTCCTGAATGAGTGGATGAGGGAGAAACAAATTGCAAAATGTGAGTGCTTATTAGACATTGTCAAAGGAGCAAACCAGACAAATGGGAGGCCGCAGAAATGACCAGTGTTAAGCAGAACTAGGAGGGACCCTGGGGGTTGAGGGAGAATGGCCATTCTCAGCACTCTGTGGACAGCAGGGAACGGGAGATCCGGGAATGGGCACCGAGGCTGGCAGGACTGGCCCCTCGGATACATGTTGGAACCACTGAAGAGCGCCTGGGTTTTGTAGAAGTTTAGCTACCCACCTGACGCTGATGTTTCAAGCAGAACCTGGAGGAGGAGGGAGGCCTCTGCCCTGAATGAGATGGCTGAGCCATCTGGCATTGCAGCTGACCTGGAAACGAATCCAGTACATTTCAGACCTGAGTTACAGCTGGCGGGGGGAAACCTAGGAGACAGGTGGTTCCCTTAACAGCTGTACTTCCAGTTAGGGCCAGCAAGAAAGAAAATTTCATGCTCATTGATTGAGCCTGCCTGGGTTTTCTGGGATCTCTCTTAGCTCCCTGACCTTTTTCCATCATAATTACCATGTCGGGCAAATAATGATACTTCTTCCTGCCTTACTGAGATAGTCTGTGCAGGTCAATGAATCTACGATTTTAAGTGAATATATTAAGTGATATATCAATTAAAAAAAAGACTATGGCCGTTAGCTGGGAGAACACTCATAGAAACAACAGTCTTTCAAATACATTTTCATTTTCAAAATGTACCCAGGTCCCATTGCAGGAGAAGTACTGACTGCTGCATGGAAGGTGACTCTCTAAATTTGGAGGTCTCTATTTATTCTGCAAATTTTAAGATAACTTAGCCAAACACTGTTTTAATTAAATGAGTCATTATGTGCACCCAATGAAGTTATATGCCATTTTTAAGCCCAGTAAAGGTAAAAACAATTTTTTTTAATGCTGAATGAAACACTGTGGCTATATATGCACACAATTTGTAATTTGGGGGTATATGGAAGATCTTAGGCAGACATGGCTTTTATTTACTGACTTGGAAGTAATAAAAGTAACACACTGTTTCCTAACTCATTCAGGAGCCAGATTATGAAACCAAAAGAAGACTCTTGGGGTGATATTTCCAGTCTTGACATCTGTCCCAGGACCCCCACATCTGTACAGGTTGTTCACCACCCAGGAGCACCCAAATGAGGCAGGGAGTGGGACAGAAATGCAGCCTCTGCTCTGCCCGCCAAGCTGCAGAAAGGGGCAATGCACACCTGGAGGTGGGACCCCATTTTCAGATCCACACAGTTTCCAAGCTGCTTGCCAAGCCTAACACCTGTGGTGCTGAGCTGCAGGTTGGTGGCAAGTGAGCCAGCAGTGACATCACCCAAGTCCTCCAGGACATCCTCCTGTGGTGTTAGAGTAAGACTGGAGCTTATCTTGGTGTAATCTTAAAAAAATCTGTTTTAAACGGGTATATACTCAGAGCTATGCATAGTTTGAAGAGGATTCCTAGTAATCAGCCCCAGACTTCACTATAGCAGGTACACAGGCAGGACAGGCCTTCGGTGAAATTGGAAAGAGCTGGAGATTTGGGGTATCTTCCTATGTTCTCCTCTGTACATTAGTCACCTTGTTCCTTTCTCCTCCTCAGTCGTTTTCCCCAAACTGCTCACACACCAGCTTTAGACTAGTACTTCTGGAAGGAAGGAAGGAAGGAAGGAAGGGAGGGAGGGAGGGAGGGAGACGGAGGCGGGGAGGGAGGAAGGAAGGAAGGAAGGAAGGAAGGCAGGCCGGCCACCCTTCTATTCACTGGAAGAAACTTGTTCTTGGAGTAGCCAAATTAATAGTAAAATGTAAATGACTAAGAATGATTGAATGTCTCCCTCCCAAAGGGTGGCATTTGAATACTGGTGTAGCATCTGAACCCAAGGTTCCAGGGACTCTGAGGCAGGGGGAAGTGGCTGAGATTTGGTCTGGGTGTGAAGGTAGGCATGCTTCCTCCATTCCCCCAGCCCACTGTGTTGCTGGGCGGCCCACGTACCAGGACACACGAGTCCCTCTGCATGCAGCTTCTCTTTTCCTGTTGCTTTAGTCCTCTCGTTGTGCTGTTGTGCTTAGTTCCTCCTTTTCAGTCCCCTATCACCACCCCCACCTTTTTAAAGGCCAATCTGAACTTCTCATTCTTGCCTCTGAGCATTTCTTTTTTATCTCCCAAACTTACTCTTCCTTAGTTTTCTTTTCAGCCAAGCAAACTGCTCCACCTCTGAATCTTTTTAAATTATCTCACCCCAGGAAGCTACCTGCTTGAAGTATCAGATTCTGCCTCTTTTTTTGAAGCTGTATTAAGTGAAGTTGAAATTCAGAACTTCTCTGTTGCTTCCTTGCCTGAAAGCTGACTCTGTAATCCTAGGAGAAGGAAAGCAGAACTTGTTGAGAGTGTTTATTAGAAGCGTTCAAAAAGCTTTTCCTGTTTTTGTTTTGTTTTGTTTTGATACCAGAGATTGAACCCAGGGGGTGCTTAAGCACTGAGCCATTTCCCACTAAATTGCTTAGGGCCTCACTAAGTTGCTGAGGCTGGCCTTGAACTTGCAATCCTCCTGCCTCAGCCTTACAGACAGCTGGGGTTGCAGGCATGTGCCACTGCGCCCAGCTCCTGATTTTCTTTCTGTACTAAGCCCAGTACAGCATGGTCGGTATTTTTCTCTCTCCAAAAATGATTACAACAGCTGACTGGAAACTGGGACTTTCCTGTTTAAATTTATTCTTTGCATTGAAGCAATTCCTGTCGTTTCTCTGGGGCTTGCATTACACCAAAGAAGTTAAGATAGCTAGTTAAGTTTATCAGTTTAGTAAAATATGGACCATCACACAGTAGGGGCACATGAACCCTGGTTAAAGAAGTCAAAATAGCTGACGCACAAACCATATAAAAATGGTCAGTCTGCCCGTGATTCTTTTAAGGAGACTTCCTAATTGTCTGTTATCCCCATCAGTCATTCAAATGATACATTTGAAGGGTTTCTCATCTTTGGATGCCTGGCATTTTTTTAAATGCCAAGAAACCAGGGATGCACTCAAGGTTTTGCATATTGAAGCTTGGTAGTCTGGCTGAATCCAGTGTAGGACAGCAGGTTCGGAATGTCTTTTCCAGATGAGGAGGGGGAGCTTCCTAAGTGTCTTTAAGAATGCAGTGTATGGGGTTGGGGATTTAGCTCAGTGGCAGAGCCCTTGCCTAGCACGCACCAGGCCCTGGGTTGGGTCCTCAGCACTGGGGGGGGGGGGGGGGGAGAATGCAGTGTGGATGGCATTGTACTTGATTTTCCCCTACTCCATTGAATGAGTTTTATTTTGAGAAATCAAAGTGCCAGCATGTGATTCTAAATCTTCGATGGCTTGCTCTGCCCTGCCAGTTCCCGGCCCCAAAACTGTTTTGTTCCATTTTGTTCTCAGTCTTCTTTTTGTCATTCCCCTAAATAGAAGCCACATCAGGGCCTTAGTTCATTTGAGTTCATTTGTCTCTGCCCGTTGCCCTGCTGTGGGTTAAGCTTGTACCATCCCTCTCTGGCGCTGAACCTTAGGAGCCTTTCCTAAAGTTGAGGTGAAAAGTCCAGTCTTGGTGAGCACCTTGCTCCATCTTTTTCCTCATCCCCCATTTACCAAAGAAGGCCAGGCAACATCTTTTTCCTTCAAATTTCTCAAATGTTTGTCTACTTCCTTGTACAAAACGTGATTGTGCTGAGAAATTTTAATGCTTATTAACAGATGATCAACCAGTATCTTCATAAGTTGGAGAAGAGGACAGCCACCCCTCAGGACACCATTTTCTTTGGTGCAAGAGGTTGAGGGTCTCTGCCAATCTGCCCTTGGGGGGCTTCAGACTTGGCTTCCACCAGCACTTTGAAAGGAGGAATCTGGAGTTGTGATATCACCATATTTGGTACATAGGCCAGAGTCTGCAGACATCTGTTGGGGCACACACCCATTCATATTGTAACTTAATTTCTAAACAGCTCACAATATAGCCTTTCATTCTGTGGCCCACAAGGAGTGGGTGGGCGGAACTTTGTGTTATGTACCATGTAGAGATAAAGAATATGGCGCTACTAGTCCAGCTTTTAAGAAACTTATAATCCAGTTGTCTAAACGTTTGAGTTTAAAAAGTGTTTTAAAAGTGTGATGTTCTAGAGATACTCTTTAAGAAAATTACAGTTAATGTAAGTGGATGCAATTGTTATTGTGGTTAAAAAAAATAAAAAACTCCTTTTTAAGTAGTTGTACGCTCTAAGTCCCATTAACACCTCACCCAGCCACCACCTCCCACCCACATTCCTGAATAGCTGTATTCCAGATAGTTGGCGCACAGTTATGAATTGATCTCCAATGTGGGTAAAGCTAATAAATGTGATTTAGGATGAAAGGTACTGTGTAAGTGCTTGAGATGTTGTTATTACTGTTCTCATGTGCTTTATTATTTTTAAATTGTGCATCCTTTTAAGTAGATTATTTGTTCGCCACAGTCTCCATTATATCTAAGCAAAGCATTCACAGAAATTTCTAAAACCTTTTCATTTCTCTCTGTAGGTTGTTGTTTCGTAACATTTTATACAAGAAAAGCTGCACTTGAGGCCCAGAATGCACTGCACAATATTAAAACTTTACCTGGGGTGAGTCGGTTTACTTTTGTACCAAAATCACTTTATTGCTTGAAAATGGTCTTTTCAACTGAAGGTTCTAGTTATGGGTTCTTAGTGCCAAAAATGACTTTGGTCTTTTGAGGAGTGTAGGCTGACCCCTCTATTCCCCACGGCAGCCAAACCCACTGGCCAGCCCATAAAGGCGTGCTGGCATTAATGCTGACGGCAAGAGCTCTCACACAGCCTGTCCCCTGGTTAGAAAATCAGAGTGACCCCACTGGGTACAGCAGCTGCCAAAGGGTGTTGGGTGGGCTGAGATTTTAAAAGAAAAAAACAACCCAATACACACAAGGGTTAGCAAATGGAAAAGTAAAAGCTTTTACTCACCAGGAGCCCCTTTTCAAATTTAGTCTTTGGATTTTTCTTTTGAAAGGACAAAATGTACCCTGTACAGCCATAATATTAAGCCTCCTAATGATTTCTAAACAGTCAATGGTGGTTAACAAAGTCAATGTTTTAATGCCCAATTTGGGGCTTCGTGTTGATACAGAACAGAAAATACAAAGCTTACCATCTTTTTTTCCATTTCCTTCACAATAATATTTGATGATTAGTGCAATTCACTAGAAATGAACCAATGTTGCATACAGCAACTTCATCCAAGTACTTTATTCTTAAGGGATTCTGTGGTATTTTTGTACATTGCATGCTGGTATAAACTTCTGAATGCTGTTCAGATATTTTCCCCATTTGCCCAAATATCAGTGATGAGTTAATTGTGTAACATAATAGTATGCATTGGTTATGATGAAGAACTTGTGGGAAACCTGTGATGATGATGATGATGATGATCTTATTGAAATCTAATTTGATTAGAATAAAAGAAAGATCAAATAACCATTTTTGATCAAATAAAAGATCAAAAACCTGATTTGATAAGAAGAAAAAAAAAAAAGATCAAATTACCATTTTCAGGGTGTAGCTCCGTGTCATTTACCATTCTCAGTAAGCATGCACAACGTGTGCACATTTTAACATAGGAACATGTGTCTGTCTTATCCCCCTTTCTCCCAGAAAACATAGCATTTGTTTAATTCACCCTAGACCCTGAACATTGTATGGTATTTATAGTGGCAAGATGCTCAATAAAATATTCTCAGAATATTAGCTTGTTAATTACCCAAAGTAATAAATCTTGAACCTTGATCTTGAATCACACTACTTTCGTTTTCCCTTTTTTTGATAGCAAATCAAAGAACAGAAAAGCAAGTGTATGTAACTAGGACAGTCCCTCCCAATTTAACTACTTCTCCCTGCAACTTCCAAGTTGCTTTTTAGTAAGGCTGCTGTTATTAAAGTCTAAGTGCTTTGCTTAGTGACCTAAAGGAGGGGGGGAGTATTTCAGCTTCATTCTCCATGTAAATGGAATTTTTACAACGTAATTCTAGAAGATTGCAGTGTTAGGTCATATTATTGAATGAAGCAACCAAGGCAGATTCTGGCTGAGCCAACAGTAGAGGAAAATAATTTTTTTTCTTCCAGATTTTTATTCAGATGCAAAGACCACTTTGTGTTCCTTCTCTTAAAAATAAATGCTTCACAATAATAAGCATACCACTATATATGTGTGTTTTAAGAATTGCTTGATGGGCTGGGGCTGGGGCTCAAGCGGTAACGTACCCGCCTGGCATGTGTGGGGCGCTGGGTTTGATCCTCAGCACCACATAAAAATTTTAAAAAAGATGTTGTGTCCACTGAAAACTAAAAAAAAAATATTAAATTCTCTCTCTAAAAAAATGAGATGATAAATTGTTGTTTATCATTTAAAGTATAGTATAGTTTGCCAAATAGCACCATATTCTAACTGCAAAGCTTGGTTAATTTGCATGCATCCTCTCCACTAGAAGCACAGCCTGAGCATACCTCTTCCTGGGGAGATGCTCTCCAGGGATCCACACTGGTGTGAATAGGACATGTGGAAGCACATGGAAGTACTGATTATCTTAATCTATTTGGGATAGCTTACTCTGACCCTGTTCTTAAACAAATAGCACCTTCAGTAATTTTTTTTTTTAATATTGCACCTTTTCTTTCCCCTTAAAAATTCTGCATGTAGAATTTAGAAGTGGCAACTTTGGAGACCCATTATGAAGGATAGTATTTGGAAGCTGGAAAAGCTCATTGGTGGATTGTTTTTGGATTTCTTTTTTACCCATTTCAGTTTTATATGTCCAATTACTTGAGACAGGGTAAACAAAGACTCAAAGTCAGATCTCATTTGTAAGGCGGATAGCCCTGACAGTGTGCAACACTTGCTATTGCCATTTCAAAGTGGTAAATGGGGACAGAGGTCCACATCTGCCATTTGTGTACAGCTTGATCTGATCAGCATCACCCTTAACAGCTACAGGAAATGCATGAAAGTGGTTGCCTTTCAGTTATGTGCCTTTGGTGGACAGGAAGAAATGGGACCAGACATGAAAGATTAATGCATATTCTTGGGGAAAAAATATTACAGTGTGCCTTGCTGTTTGATTACAAGCCTTGGAATTAGTCAACATTTCCATAATTCTAAACCAATATACACCTGTTTTCCCACTGTGATGTGAAGGCACAACTTAATTTAACAGAAACCCTGCTGTGCTAAACCTCTCATTAAATACCAAGTGAGTTCGGTAATTTAAAGTTGTAGCACTACTATTTTAACTGGTTGCCTTCATATTATGAAATTAATAAGAAATTAATGATGCACTTTGCCATATGCCTTCAATTTCTTTCTGAATAAAAATAAAAGGGATAAAGAAAAATGCATCACCAGCTGACACTTTAAAGCTTTTCTGGTTGTAATCATTTTCCTGCAGATAAAATCCATTAAAAAGGCACTTGCTGCCTTTTTTTTCTAAAGTGTCCAAAACTTTCAATTTATAACAAGATCAAATAGTGTTGGGTTGTTTTTTTCCCCCTCCCTGTATGTAATTTTCTTTTGCAGTTGATGTTTTGAATCATGAGGAACTTTTATCATGCAACCAAACTTAATTAGTGTTTCAGGGTTTGCTTTTTCCTTTATGCACCATGTCCCTATCTTGAAGGGAACAAAGGACTTGGTTGGTACAGGAGGGGAAGCAAACTGATAGGATTCTCTGTTATGCAGGGGAACTTGTCTCCTCTTTGATTTTAATTTAAAGGCACCCTCTTTTTTATGTGCTTCCTGGACTTTGGAGACCCTCTTTCCTGGGGGCAGGAGAAAGGATGGTGGGATTGAGGTGCAGGATCAGAGCCTTACTGATCACTGCAAAATAAACGGGGACACATTTCTCAAACCTGCCTCTCGCTATGTAACGGAGAATGATAACGGATCTTATATCTTCAGAAAGTTCAACATAAATCCCAGAAATATAGTAGTCAAAGGAAGTAAATTTTACAGCTCACCATGGACAGTAAGGAATGAGAGACTGGGAGTCACGTCCTTGGTTTGATCAAGCTCTCTAGAAATTGTTGCTTGATGCTTAAGCGACAGATCAGATCTTAGGTACGGTGCCCATTCATTATTGGTATTTCATGAGATTAATAAACCACAAATGATTATTGAGTGCCTACTCTGTGCCATGTACTAAAGTAGATATTGGGAGGAGATGGCAGACAGCAAGCCCAATATGGCCTCCAAGTGGCCTTAGCTATAAGGATGGATAGTGGATAGGCACCTAATACAAGCTTGGTTTATGCTTTAATGCTTTTCTGCTTCTGATGAAATACTGGTTCCATGCATGACTGTCCTTGAGATCCCTACAAAGTAGCACTGTTAAAGCCTGAAGGGACTATGATAGCTCTGTGTGCTTGGGCTGGGCTGCTAGGAGCCTCTGGCTGTAGTGCAGCATTGTTAGATCGGCATTTCCCACTGCCGTGCCATTTGTGTTCTCGACAAACTTTGGTTGTTTCTGCTTTCATGGTGCCACGGGTATGTGGAGAGCCTCCTTCATTGAGCATTTCAGGTAGGCACCACTGACTGGTCGTGTCATTCAGCAGAAATGTCATTGTTTGCCATTATGGATCCCAGAGAGAAATCCTCATAAAAGCCACCTGGAAGATCCATTTTATTTTCATGGACCTAATTTAACTCTATTAGAAAAAAATAAAATAAAAAGACCTTGATTGAAGCACAGGAAAATCTACCGAGACCTTTCAGTAATCAGATTGTCAAGGCCAAAAATCCTTGGGCCAGTGTCAGCACCGTGCCTTATGTCATTCCTTTTTCAAGGTCTTAACACATATCGTCTCCAGCAATAAGGCTTTTTGATTGGAAATCCACAGCAGTATCATTAGAGCATTCACTGTATAAATTAATTTAATTAAGGATATAATAACAGAGAGGAATACAGTTTTGAAAAAGCTCTTAAATTTTAACAGCAAGGAGGAATCTGGAATCTAAATGTCTTGTAAAATATTAATTGCAAATTTCTTCCAGACATTTTCTCTGAGTATGCCTCACCCTTTTCTTTTTAGAGTCACTACCAGTTTTATTAAATGCAGTTTATATTAAGGAGTTACTGCCCTAAGAGAACATTTGTTTAGCGCACTCCATTTCAGCGGTGGCTCACTGGAAGGTATTTTATAACAACACACACACAATCTGAGCAAGGACGACACGTAGATTTGAGATATAAAAATAAATGAGCCTCATCCAGTGGGAGGAAGATGTAAATAAAGTGGCCTCCTGGGACCAGCGTGTTCACCCACCAGAAGTGAATGGGCCTTTTCCTGGCCTGCCCTGGAGATGATTTACCTGTGTGGGCAGGCACCTTCTCCCAAGCGGGCTTTAGCTCAGCTCTCTGTAGGATTGTCCCCGTGTCCTTTACTGGTGGAATCTAGGGCTTACTCTTTTCAACAGAACAGCTTGACACTTTCTCTTAATTTCCGCATTGTAATATATTTAAGGTACTCATTTTCTTTGAAATGCCTCTCCTGATATCTTTAATGCCTTTGATCTCAGAGCCATGATTATTAATATTTTTGCCACTACCACCACCATCATT